CATAATGAGACAATAAAAACAAAATTAAAGGAGATAGAAGAGAAAGCTACCAATTTGGAAGATATGCTGAAGGAGGAGGAAAAAGATGTGAAGGTGAAGTTTAATTTTTTTTAATCACAGAAAATTTAGCAACAGTGAATTAATTAGACTCTTAGAATCAGAGCTTGAGGAGATCTTATAAGAAGCTGATTTTTGGTATGATCCCATTTATAATCTGGGTTTGGACATATTTTCATGCATCGCTTCTGAAGATACACTTAGCCTCCTGTCTTCTTTTTTTTTGAGACAAAGTCTTCTTCTTGTTGCCCAGGCTGGAGTTCAATGGCACAATCTCAGCTCACTGCAACCTCTGCCTCCTAGGTTCAAGCGATTCTCCTGCCTCAGCCTCCTGAGTAGCTGGGACTGCAGGCACCTGCCACCACGCCTGGCTAATTTTTGTATTTTTAGTAGAGACAGGATTTCACAATGTTGGTCAGTCTGGTCTCAAACTCCTGACCTCAGGCAATCCGCTCTCCTCAGCCTCCCAAAGTGCTGGGATTACAGGCGTGACCCATCACGTCCAGCCAGCCTCCTCTCTTAAGCTACTAATTTTCCTGTGCCAGTCACAGACTTGTTTTGTGTCATATTCAGGTTTATTGGTTACTAAAGGAAAATATGCTTATCTGGGTATAAGATCACAGCGGCAAATTATTTCAGCGTTTAAGAATGATAATTTTCAAATGATTGTGGCATGATACGTGAATTTAAAGCCTAGAACACATTGGTCATGAGGCTTCCAGGTCAAGACGGGTTTGCTTCCTGAGAGAAGCAGTGGGAATGGGGCTCATTTCTGTTTCCTAGAGCTGCATGCACATAGTGGAGAGGCCGACTGGAGGCAAAGAGTGAGTTCCTGGAGTGTGCTGGGGCCAGCTCCTAACCAGCTTACAAGAGCCAATCGTTCAACTTCTAGGAATTTTCCTATAATTAAAATTATGTAAACTCACAATTAAATAAATGGCACTTACAAAAACAGTAATACATACTTGCACTCATTGCTTCCAAATACTTTATTTTATTCTGTGCTCTTAAGGTTACTTATGTCTGTTTTGTCTGTGTGTTGGAAATACCACACAATGGTCTGCTTCTGTGAATTTCTTCCCAACCCTGCCTTTAGTGGAATCATGTTAGTAGCATGAAATTGGCCGTAATGGGGGTATTTTTACTGTGGAAATCAGATTCTCCCCTAGTCTCTTATCTCCTGGAGAGATGGCTGAACATTCACTTGCTCACCACTGGATAGTGCCTAAAAGGTGGGAGATTGGGTGATGAGATTTCTTCCCTGCAGCACCCTCAAGACTTGAGTAAACTCTGTGAATGTACGGGCCGTATGTTTCCAGTAGACTTCGTTTTTTGAGGAAATCAGGCCAGCATCTAGATAGGGTAACATGGGATGAAATAAGATGACAGGTCGGGGTGCATGACACAGGAATGGAAACCATTCTAGTCTACTAGAATAGAGTAGACCAAAATACATATTGGGGACTTGTTAAAATTGTGGGAAGAGCTTTATCTTCTAGAGGCTAAAATGATGGAGGGTCCAAATTTATTTCTGAGTGCCTACATTATTGTGTTCATATAAATAACACATTTCAAGATACCTACTTTCATTAATCACTGTACTTCTTATCAGGAAGTAGATGTTCAACTGAACCTCATAAAAGATGTGCTGTTTAAGAAAGCTCAGGAGTTACAGACTGAAACGATGAAAGAAAAAGAGGTTGTATCAGAAATTGAAGGAACTCGTTCCTCTCTGAAACATCTCAACCATCAGTTACAAAAACTGGATTTTGAAACCTTGAAGCAGCAAGAAATTATGTACAGCCAGGTAGGTGTTACTTTTGTGAATATCTTCCATATTGATTTGTGACAGCTGTGATGGTCAAGACATGCCAGTGTTCTAAGGAAACAAAGAATTCTAAGTACTCTCTTGGAGGACAGGCAGATGCTGAAGGTGAGACATCATGTTAGGTTAGGAGTAGGGGGAGGGAGCCTTAAAAGCTGTATTTTCCCCTCAATCTGAAATAAGCAGGCAAGAGGAGAGAGAACTCTAGTGAGGGAGAACCATGTTTTAAAGGAACCTGGACATTTGCATCCGGAGTAAAAGACAAGACGGCATGAGATGCCTGAAACCCAGAAAGACTGGGCGTTGATTGTCTTTCAACACTGCCGTGTTGTCTTTCAACAGTGCCCCACCCTCACTGCCATGCCAGTAGAGGAAAAGCTTTTTTTTTTCAGTTTTGTCTCATTTTGTTCTATTTATGTATTTGTGTTAATTTCTTAATATTCTCCATCTCTACATCTTAATTTGCTCATCTAATTTATATTCTTAGTTTTTAAAAATTATAGACATTAAAGTATAATATTAAGAACAATTAATTAGAAGTTGATATTTGAATGTTTCATGGCTAACAATTTGTGACTGTGTTTTGTATCCCTTAGAAAATATGCCCTCAGAAATCCAAGTTCATGTAAATCCAGTGAATTTACTGAGATTCCATCATGGTAGTATGATAAACATCCCCCAGCTCTGTCATATTTTCAGAAGATTGTTTCTGTGTCTATCATGTACCTTGATTGTTGAGATATAGTTTATTTTTGTTCCTCTTAGAGTGAAAAGAATTTGTCCTGAATTACTGAAAGACTAAAGTGACTTTATTACATGATAATGCCCAGTCCAAAGTCTTTGTTTTTACACTTATAGAAATGCTTTTGTTTCTTTGTAATAACTATTTTTTTTTAAAAACTGTAACAGGATTTTCATATTCAACAAGTGGAACGGAGAATGTCACGGTTAAAGGGAGAAATTAATTCAGAAGAAAAACAAGCCCTTGAAGCAAAAATTGTTGAACTTAAGAAGTCTTTGGAAGAGAAAAAATCTACATGTGGCCTTTTGGAAACACAGATCAAGAAGCTTCATGTAACTTAGCCAAAATACATTTTATATTTCAAATATCCTAGTCTTTCTGTTTTAAGTCAACATGTTCCTAAGACTACCTTGGATAGGGTGTTTGCCAGTCTACACACACACATAACAAATGTATGAACAATGTTCTTATTTCCGTACTATTAGTGTGTAACGTTACCATTAATAATGCAATTAGTATATGCTAAATATTGTATGACATGCCTCTAGTATTTAATTTCATATAATCCTTACCGCTGTCCTGTGAGGAAGATACTGTTATCTGTTTTGTAGATTAAGTAATTAGTCCAGGTTATGCAGCGAGTCTGTGGAGAGCTAGGATTTGACGCCTGCCGCATTTGACTTCTAAATACTCTTCAAGGGTACACTGTTCAGAACATCGATGAGTTCTAGTTTTCTATTTTATATCTGCCATAACAAATAACTTGATTGCCCGTTGTCTTTCAAATGCCATCTACAGAGAAGCTGCTCTTTGATGAGTCAGCAGTTGTTACTCAAATCTTTACTTATTTATGATATTTGAAATGATTCGATTCTGTTATTAAGGCAAGAATGTCTTCATCTTTAGGCATTTTATTATGTTTATTGTAATATAAAACTTGTGTTAAAGTTTGACCAGAGAGTAAAAGTAAGAGAGTGAGCGTGGACTTGAATGGGGTGAGAACTTAGCAGGGTCTAAATGTTACTTACCACTGGAAAGGCTATTGATGAGTGTCCTCTGGTGGTTATAAAAAGAATTGCCCTAAATTCCTTCAGGGCTGCAAAAGGTGGAGAGGTATTACTTATGTTTTTCCTCTTATTTTAAAAAGACAAAATTTTGCTTTGGAGTAGTTTGTCATCTGATGAAATATTTTTAAATTGTTACCCTTGTTTAGTGGAAAAAGAACACTTGTTTTTGGATCAGAATGAGTTTTAAATTTCAAGGCTATACCACTACTACTATTTTAACTTTTCTGAGGTCTAGTTTACTCATCTATTAAATGGGGGAAAATTAATATTATTCTAGGACATTTGGGAGAACTAGAATTTGTATCTTAGCACAATACTTCAGTAGGTACTCAATATGTGGTATTGTTTTGATTATTTAGAATACAAGAATATTAATGCTATAGAATATATAGCAGGATGAGATAAATGTATAGCAGGAAGAGGGATAATAAAATACAGGATTATTATAAATATCTGAGTATATAATTTAATGTAAGATATATAATATAGTATGTATTTAATATTTTTGTTAATATTTAAAACATATTTATATACCTTTTTTTCTTTTTACAGAATGATCTTTTTTTTATCAAGAAATCAAACAGTAAAAGCAATGATGAAAAACAGTCCCTTATGAGCAAAATAAATGAACTAAACCTTTTCATTGACAGATCAGAGAAAGAACTTGATAAAGCCAAAGCTTTTAAGCAGGTGCAGTAAAATTGTATGCATACGTAGTATTGAAAACCATGTTTCCATGTTAATTGTAGACAAATAAAAAAATACAGCTAATTATGAAAAAGTCACTGTAATCACTATACCCAATATAAACAGCGTTGAAGTCTGTTACTTCTTTCTAGTCTTTTAAATAAATTTGGCTTTTTATGGTGTATTAAAAAAATTTCTACATGTCATATGTTTTTAAAAATGTTATCTATTCTTTGAAAAATAGATTTGAAAGCTTTCTGTAAGTGCATTGAATGAAGTTACCATAATTTATTTAAACGTCCCCCGTTTTTTAGGACTTTGTTTCTTTCCAATGCTTGGCTATTGTAAATAGTACTACATGTACAATGCAGTCATTCAATTAGTTGTTCATTGTATAGTTATTCAATTAGTTCCTTTGGATAAATTCCTACCTATGTAATTACAGTTCAAAAAGAAATGAATATTTTTAATGTCTTGAAACTATTTTCAATCCCAATTACCTTCTAGAGGGTACCATTAATACTCCTGTAAGCATTCTGTTTTATTCAGTACCACTGAGGCTGGATATCCTAATTTAGAAAATTGTTGGCAATTTGATAGTCAAATATGGTATCTCATCGTTTTAGTCTGCATTTTTAAAGTTGGCGGTTTAAAAATATTTTGTTTAATGATAAATTTTCAAACATTTATTTTTTTGTTTGTTTTTTTTTGTTTTTTTGAGACGGAGTTTCGCTCTTGTTGCCCAGGCTGGAGTGCAATGGCGTGATCTTGGCTCACTGCAACCTCCGCCTCCCAGGTTCAAGCGATTCTCCTGCCTCAGCCTCCTGAGTAGCTGGGATTACAGGCGCGCGCCACCACACCCAACTAATTTTTGTATTTTTAGTAGAGACGGGGTTTCACCATGTTGACCAGGATGGTCTCGATCTCTTGACCTCGTGATCCACCCGCCTCGGCCTCCCAAAGTGCTGGGATTATAGGTGTGAGCCACCACGCCCGGCCTCAAACATTTGTGTTTAAATAAAAATGTTTGAAACACCTTCTCTGTTAGGTCATGTTCCATATTTTTTCTCTTTGGAGCTCTAGTTTGTATTCTTGGACTATTTTTCCACTGAGAGGTTGACATACATAAATTGCTTTACAAAAGATTTTCATATGTAAAAATATTATTTCTGTCATAAATATTGTAAATATTTTCCCCATTTACCTTTACAGTTTTATTCAGTGTTTGTGACATAAAACTTTTCTTTAAACATCAAATCTTTAGGTTTCTTTTTAATTTTTATGCTTAGAAACTTCTTGGTTACACTAAAAATCAGTCCAATGTTTATTATGTCTAGTAGTTACACTGGTCTCATCTCTTAAGATTTTTCATTCATCTGGAATATATTTTTGGTACATGTGAGATGTAAGTATCTAATCTCTCCAACTGAAAACCTATGTTTGTGAAATAATAAAATCTGATATTATGGAGCATTTGATTCTGGGCTTTCTATTCTGAAAACTGATTGATATGTGTATTCTTATGTCAGTATTCTACTCGTGACCGAATTGTTTTAAGATAAAAATATATTTCCACATTATTTTGTGAGACTCAGAGTATAAAAATGGCCATTCATAGGACTTTATGTTTTCTAGATATTATTAAGTTTAATTTCATGAATAACTTCTTCCTTTTGTTTTTTATAATAGCAAAGCTTAACTTTAACATTGAATTATAAAAAGATTTGAAATAACCATAAACCCTTTTCTTAAAAGAAAAAAACCTATGACTCTGAACAATTTAAATTCAGCCCTAGTTAATATCTTGGTCAATGATTAAATTAGAAAAAGGTATATTTTCAATTTTGACTTATGTAGTAATAAAAAGAAAAATATCTTGGTTTTGTGATAAAAAATAATTTCAACATTTGACCATTTTTTTTTGTTGATAGGATTTGATGATAGAGGACAATCTTTTAAAACTTGAAGTTAAGCGTACTCGAGAAATGCTTCACAGTAAGGCAGAAGAAGTTCTTTCCCTGGAAAAAAGAAAACAGCAATTATATACAGCTATGGAAGAGCGAACTGAAGAAATTAAGGTTCATAAAACAATGCTTGCATCACAAATAAGATATGTTGATCAAGAACGGGAAAACATAAGGTAATTTTTAGTTTTAAAACACTGCTGAGGAACTTGGAATAAAAAAATAAGGGTGATGTCAGGAGAACTGGCTGCCCCCTAACATCCTGGATGTGCATCTTTTTCTTATTCGTTTGAAATGGCTTTTCATATAAGACATAGGGCATGTTATAGCCATAAATCTAGGCTCTTCCTTTGGTTAATTCTTCATTCTTTGGATTGCCCGTTTTACATTAAGATCACAAATCTACTTGGAATTGCTTTTCATGTGTGGTTTTTGTTAAAGTCTAATAACATATCTTTTATAAAATAGATATTCAATAGCTGCATCTATTGAAGTGATTTTATCATAGAAAATTTGCACATCTTTATGTGCAAAGATTATTTCCAGCTATAAGTTTTTTTTTTTTTAAATGTTACTGTCAATTTCATTTTTGGTTTGTTGCTGATATGTAGAAATCAGTTAATTTCTGTATATTCAGCAACCTTGCTTAATCCTGTTGGAACAATCAGTAGATTCTAATTCTATATACTGTATTTCATTTATATTGTTTTCAAACAATAAGTTTTATTTCTTGCTTTCCAATCTTTATAACTTTTCTTTTTTCCCAGTTCAGTACTGAAGAACAGTGTTAATTACAGGTATCTTTGTCTTGTTTCCTGATGTCAAACAGAGGGCTTTCATTGTTTTTTCATTAAGCATAAGGTTTACTGTAGTTTGTTTCTGGTTGTTTTAGATATCTTTTACCATATTAAGTGAGCTCCCATCTATTTTTAATATTTACTAAGAGGTTATTTTAGTTTGTTTAATCAAGAATGGATGTTACTTTTATTATATACTTTCTCAGGATTCACTGACAAGATGTAGCTTCTTCAATCTGTTAATGTGTTTAACATACAGATTAATTTTTCAAAGTCAAACCAACCTTACATTCTAGAATAAACCCAACTTGTCTGTCACATACTATCTTTTGCATACATCAAGATTTTGTTAGGGAATATTTTAATACAACTTTTGCGTCTATGTTCATGTGCACAAACCCATAATTCTCCTTGCTCTACTGTCCTTGTCAAGTTATCAAGCCATTAAGCTTATGTCTGCCTTCATAAAATGACTTGTGTGTATTTCTTATTTTTCTCTACTCTGAATATGTTTCTAAAAGAGTGGAATTATGTTTTTCAAAGACCTCATTGGAAAAAAAGCCATTGGGAGCTTGAAGTTTTCTAGGGGAACATTTTCAACTATTGATTGAAATAGTTGAATAGTCCTACTGATTACAGGACAATGCAGATTTTGTATTTCTTATTGATTCCATTTTGGTAAATTTTATTTTTCTCTAGGAAAAATTTTCTATATCCAAATTTTCAAATTTATTGCCATAAAGTTGTTTGTAATATGATTTTATTATTTAATAGTTGTAGTATTTTTAGAGATGACTCCTTTTGTATTCCTGACATTGGTTATTTCTTTATCCACTCATTGGTTGATTGGCATTTAGGCTGGTTCCAGTCATTGTTTTAATAACTCAACTCTACCACTGTAGACTTTTGGAGCAGGGTAAGTCTCACCACAAATTAATCGGTTTTAACATTATTTGGAAAGGATCTGCTATTATCAGAATCTTCTATTGTCCATTCATTATTTCATTAGTTTCTGATCTTGCCTTTCCTATTTTTCCTTCTTTTAAATGGGGGTTTAAATGTTCTTTTCCTAAATTCTTCAGATGCTTAGCTTATTAATTTTCAGCTTTGAAGTCTGAAAAAATACCTTTAAGTATTAGCTTCATCCCACAAAAAGTTAATTTGCCATTATTTTCTTTTTTGCCTTTCTTCTTTCAATTGTCATAGACTTTTACTTTTTAAACTTTATTGAGGTATATTTGAGATATATAAGTTGCACATAGTTAAAGTATACATTCGATAGGTTTTGACATGTATAATACACCAGAGAAACCATCACCACCATCAAGACAGTGTTTCCGTCACCTCCCCAAGTTTCCTTGTACCCCATTGTAATTCCTCCTTTCAGTACCTCCCAAAGTTTCTCTCTCCAGACAACTAACTGATCTGTCGTTTATCCATATGGTTCAGATGGCATTTTCAAGAGTTTTATGTAAATGGAATCCAACAGTAGGTCCATCTTTTATTTGGCTTTTTTCATTCAGCATAATTATGTTGAAATTCATCCATGTTGTGTATATCAATATACATTCTTTTTTATCGGGGTTGACACACTTTTTCTCTAAAAGCTAGGTAAGTAACTTACAGTTCCTTGCAGGCCATACGGTCTTTCTTTTATTAGTTTTGTTTGTTTGTTTTCTTTTCTTGATATTTTTTCTCTTTTTTTGAACTTCAGTTCTATGTTTTATTAGTTTTTTTCTAAAAATTTATTTCAACAGTTTTTGGGAAACAGGTGGTTTTTAGCTAAATGGATAAGCTCTTTAGTAGTAATTTCTGATATTCTGGTGTACCTGAACCCAGGCAGTGTACAGTGTACTCAAGGTCTAGTCCTTTATCCCTCAGGCCCCTCTCATATCCCCTGATAAGTCCCCAAAGTCCATTATATCATTTTTTATGCTCTTCCATCCTCATAGCTTAGCTCCCACTTATAAACAAGAACATAACAGTATCTGGTTTTCCATTCCTGAGGTACGTATAATAATGTTGCCCAACTCCATCATCCAAGTTGCTGCAAATGCCATGATTTTCTTCCTTTTGTGGCTGAGTAGCATTCCATGGTGTATATATACATTTTCTTTATCCACTCATTGGTTGATTGGCATTTAGGCTGGTTCCAATTACTGTTTTAATAACTTAACTCTACCACTGTAGACCGAAAGCCGCCACAGACAATATGTCAAAAAATGAGCATGGCTATTTTCCAGTAAAACTTTATGAATATTGAAATTTGAAATTTTCATGAAACATCATTCTTTAATTTTTCTAACCACTTACAAATTTAAAAGTCATTCTTTGCTTGTGGATTACACAGAAACAGGTGGCAGGCAGGGTGGTTTGCTGACCCTGGCTTTCTCTTGGTAAATAGCAGTATTCCACTGCATGTGTTTACTCCAATCTGTTTATCCATTTACCTGCTGATGGGCATTTGAGCTGTTCCCAGTTCTTAGCTATTATAAACAAAGGTGCTGTGAACATATGTGTTCCTGGTAGGGACATATGCTGTCTTTTCTCTTAGGAGTAAAATTGCTAGATCATGTAGTAGGTACATATTTAACCTTTCAGGAAACATTAAGAAATTGCCATGTATTCATTATTTCTGTCTTTCCTGCTTTTTGTTGTTTTTACTGAATTTTGTTTTGCTTTTTCTTTATTTGGAAGGTATACAGTCTAATTTTAATTATTTTGCTGGTTATTCTTAGATTTAAAAGAAACCTTAATTATTTCTCTATGAATATTGAAAATTAGTTTGTAATATTTTCCCTTCCTAAAAAATAAGACTTTTAGCATCTTTTGCCTCTTCTTTTCCTCTTCCCATCATTCACATATTGTTGAAACAGTGATTATAGTTTCTTTTTAGTGTTTTTAATATTATGTCTGTACTTTTTAAAGAACTCCTTAATGTGCACTAAGCTGTACAGCCAAATGCCAGCAATAACTTAAAACTAACTATGGTTTTTTTTTTTTTCATATATCCCTTGTTATCATTCTATTTTCTTATATTTCATTTTTTGGAGTATGATTTTGAATTTGTTTTTTTTTGAACTGCTGTTTTCTGAAATTTTGCAATCCTTGCATGTTTACTATATGGTTATTCTCCCTTAAACTTGAGTTAGAGATAATTGTGAAACATTGTTTCATATTCTGCTAGATTACAGTGTTGTTTATGAGAAATCTGATTATAGATAAATTTATTTTGTAGGGAAACTGGGTTTTGTTTTCTTTCTGGAAGCTTTGGGATACTCTCTCTTTATCCTTGGTGTTTCATAATTTTCTTGTCTGTGTCCGGGTGTTTTGCCATTTTTAAGTTTCTCTTTCTTGACCCTTCCTGGGTAAACTCTTTTAGTTATTTAAAAAAATTTTTTTTGTCTTAGGATCAGGGGTACACGTGCAGGTTTGTTATACAGGTAAACTTGTGTCATGGGGGTTTGTTTTACAGATTATTTCATTATCCAGATACTAAGCCTAGTACCCAGTAGTTATTTTTTCTGTTCCCTCCACCCACCAATAGGCCCCAATGTCTGTTCTTTGCCTCTTTGTGTCTGTGAGTTAATCATTTAGGTCCCACTTATAAGTGAGAACATGCAGTGTTTGGTTTTCTGTTCCTGCATTAATTTGCCAAGGATAATGGCCTCCAGCTCCATCCATGTTCCCGTGCAAGACAAGATCTTATTCTTTTTTTATGGCTGCATTGTATTCTATGGTGTATATATGCCATATTTTTAAAATCTGTCACTGATGGGTATTTGGGTTGATTCCATGTCTTTACTATTGTGAAGAGTGCTATGACGAACATTCGTGCATGTATGTCTTTATGATAGAATGACTTACATTCCCTTGGGTATATACCCAGTAATGGGATTCCTGGGTTGAATGATACTTCTAAGTTTTTTGAGGAATCACCAAATAGCTTTCCAAAATGGCTAAACTAGTTTACACTCCCACCAACAGTGTATAAACATTCCTTTTCCTCTGTGACCTCACCAGCATGTTATTTTTTTGACTTTTTAACGGTAGCCATTCTGACTAGTGTGAGACGGTATCTCATTGTGGTTTTGATTTGCGTTTTTCTAATCATCAATAATATTGAGCTTTTTTTCATATTCTTGTTGGCTGCATGCATGTCTTCTTTTGGAAACTGTCTGTTTATATCCTTTGCCCACCGTTTAATAAGGTTGTATTTTTTCTTGTAAATTTGTTTAAGTTTCCTATAGATGTTGGATATTAGACCTTTACTAGATGCATAGTTTGCAAAATTTTTTTCCCATTCTGTAGGTTGTCTGCTTACTCTGTTGACAGTTTCTTTTGCTGTGCAGAAGCTCTTCAGTTTTAACTAGATCCCA